ATGATTATAAATTGAGCTTTTTTTCTTAGTGATTATTTTATTAAAATTAGGACCTACAATTCCTATAGATTCCATACAAAGATCTCAAACTTCTAATCAAACATATTGTGATGCAGCTCTACTATCTAGTGCTGCAATATGGCACATGATCAGATATATTTTGTATCATTTTATTATTTCCTACAGTTGAAACATCAAAGCTGAATAAAGTAATCCAATAAAATATGATGTTTCTGCGGTCATCGTTGATTTTGATTTACAACGATCATTTAGCAAAACTACTAACCTAAATCTGCCTCAGAGTAAAATATCAAAAAGTTAATTGTGAGATATTTTAAAATATGAAATAATGTGCCAATGTGATTGCAAATATGAGATTTGATAAGTCACAATTGTAAGACATGAAGTGACGTGAAACTGTATAGTCACATTTTTAGAAATAGTTGCAAATATGAGATATAAAGTCACAAATGTGAGATAAAGTTGCAATTGTGAGATATGAAGTCGCAGTAGTGACATATGAAGTTGCATTTGTGAGATATAAATTTGCAAATGTGAGATATGAAGTTGCAGTTGTGAAATATTAAGTCGCAAATGTGAGATATGAAATCACAGTTGTGAACTATAAAGTCACAAATATGAACAATAAAGTCGTAAATGTGAGATATGAAGTCACAGTTGTGAACTATAAAGTCACAAATATGAACAATAAAGTCACAAATGTGAGATATGAAGTCACAGTTGTGAACTATAAAGTCGCAAATGTGAACTATAAAGTCACAAATATGAACAATAAAGTCACAAATGTGAGATGAAGTCGCAGTTTTGAGATATAAAGTCACAATTTGAGATATAAGGTTGCAATTGTTAAATATAAAGTCACAACTGTGAAATATAAAGTCGCAAATGTGAGATATGAAGTCAAAATTGTGAGCTGCAAAGATGCAATTGTTAGACATAAAGTCACAAATGTGAGATGAAGTCGCAATTGAGATATTAAGTCTTTTTATTCTTTAATATGTAATTTTAAATATGTAATTTTTTTTAATTTTATTGTTTTATTTAACTCTTTTAAAAAAATTTTTTTTTACTTTTTCTGATGCAAGAACTTTCCTAGTACCCTTTCAAAAATATTTTTAATTCCATGATTAAGATGCTTTACGCGCTACGCCGCGTATAACACAGCAGTGAAAACAAATCTTGGCCTATATCCCAGCTTTTACATATTCTGTCATAAATGACTGCTAAATACTCAATAAATGTCAGATTTATTAATAATGCATTCATTTTGTTATACTTGCATGTTAAATGTAAAAAAGAGACCGTTGATAATCAATAATGATGGGTCAAAATGTAAAAAAGTCATTACAACCAGTCACACTGATCTCTTATGCTTCCAATGCATGCACTGAACTGTGTAGAACTGCACAAAGTTCAGCAAAGGCAATAATTCTTTGAACGATCTGTTAGCTTTCAGGGATGTTTGCAGTCTTGTCACTATGGAGCACTAAACTCTCGGGAATGTGGAATCCTGTTTTCTTGGGAACATTAAGGCATGTTTAGACTTATTCATATTTGGCCAACAGCAATTTACTGGACACCTCATAGTGCAGAAAATATTTTCATTCTGAATGAATGTAAACACAATACCAACACTCCTTATTTGTGTGGTGTAATCTCAATTTTAAAGTCTGTACTCATGCTTTTAGATGTATTATTTATGAAAAGAACTGAATTTATTTAGTGTCTTAGCTAAAATTTTATTTATTATTATTATTATTCATATTTTTGCATTTGTCTTTTCTAGTATCTTAAATGCATCAAAATACATCAAAATAATTTTAAGAGTAGAACCTAGAAACACTGTTAATTAAAAGGTCATTTAAGGACATCAGGACGTTTGCTCATTTGTTTGTTTCTTATTCATTTATTTATTCTTTTAATTTTTACTGGATGAGATTATAAATTTTATAAGAAGTATTATATACACAAATAATTATACAACCATAAATACAAAACAATGGCTGCTCCATGGATGTAAATGCAGATTTAGTGGTCCCCCTTATAACATGCAGTTTTACAACTGAAGAACAGACTGCATAAATTAAAGATAATCCTTGGTAAATTATGTTAATGTATTCGCATGGTCTCTGCATGCGTAACATGGGTAGTATATTACTAGTTTTGGGACACTATTGTTTGTATCAAGTTGAACCGTAAACAACATATGCCCCTTTACATGAATGTGAGTCTCCAAAAGATGCACAATATTGAAAATAAAAGCACTTCCATATACTATGCAGTCATTGAAGATGCTTCTGAAAGTTACATTATCTGCTCTTTCTCCACCGTTTTTTTGTGTGATGCTGATCTTGGTTTGTTTGATCAGAGTCTGTTTAAACAGTCTGAGCTCATTGTGGCTAATGAGTTGTGCTTCTTATTAAATTTAGCCAAGTTTTCCTCAACAGCCTTCAGAGATAACCTGCTTGAGTGTTTGGCCTGCTGTTACAAGCCATGCTGACTTTGATGAACATACTGGAAATAGCATATTTAATAGCCAAAAATAAAAATAAAAAATTGCTATATTCACCATCAGAATTGCAAGATATAAACTGAGAATTCTGACTTTTTTTCTAAACGTGCAATTCCAAGTTTACATCTCACAATTCTCTTTTTTTCTTAGAATTGCGTTTTCCGTGGTGGAAACTGACTTCCATATAAAACTGAGCCATCATCTTTGGTAAATGACAAATTTTGATGAGTAATAAACATTTCTTATACAACAGAAAATAATAATCAGTCTCATTACAAACATTCTGTACTTTTTACTCACCCTAACTAGCCTAGTTTCTGCTAATAGAGAGAACAGCCAGGCACAAGAACAGTTTCTTCCCACAGGCTATATTCAGCCTGAACAATTAATCTTTCATAATTATACATCGTCCATTTATATTAAACTGCACACTTTGTAAATAACATATCTGCACACTAATAAACATATCTGTACATTTATCTAAACAATTACATTTTTTTCCTATACTTCTATTTCTGTATATAGTACATTTAATTTTTTAATTTTTTTAATTTTTTATTATATTAGTGTTATATTACATCCCTACTGTGTTATTCCTATGTATGTCTGCACTATCATGTATGTCTGCACTATGTTTGTACTTTCTTCTACACTGGAAGCTCCTGTCGTCAAGTCAAATTCCTTGTGTGTGTAAACATACTTGGTAATAAAGCTCTTCTGATTCTGATTCTGAACTTGACTCACTCTTTGCTTTTGAATCAAATGTTCCAAACTAACCCTGTTCATACAAATGAGTCGAGGAACATGCTGATCCCTAAGGAGTAGATAATATATCTCATTCAAGCAGTTACACCCCTCTTTCTCAAAACCAAATATGTACCAGACCTTTTGAAATCTGATAATCGCGCTTCCCGTAATCTCCTTGCATTGGAAAGTATCTTAAATGCTGTGCAAAAGCATTTCTTTGAGGATTGTTTTCAAACCAAGACAAGAATGCGAACATCCCCAGGGGTGCACATGCATAAAAGGGTGCAAATATGCATATAACATCTTGTTTTCAGGGTCACTGATGATGCATTAGTTACTCTTTTGCTTAACCAATATTCATTCCCTCAAGTTAAGAAGGCACTGATATTGGCGTGGATATTGGCAAACACCTTGTTCTTTTGTGGTTGTTGCTTTATGCTGTTATTATTTCACAAAATGAATCGTATTTATGCATGAGGGCTAGTTATTTCCTAAATCATCATTTAAAAGGAAAAAATGAAACAAACAATACAACACAACAACACACACATGTTGGGTTTCCATGTTTTATGGGGACATAAAATCAGACAATGGCCATAGGCGTAATGGTTTTTAAACTGTACAAACTGTATTTTCTAAAACTTCATTCTGTATGATTTATAAGCTGTTTTCCTCATGGGGACCAAAAAATAATAAAAAAATAAAAGTCACCACAAGGTCAACATTTACTGGTATTACTATTCCTGTTAAACAGTTTTTATAGTTCATATTAGTGAATAAAAATATAATTTAAAGCAGTGTGATTTGTATGATAGCCTATAGCCTAATTTATCATGGTACTACATGATAAAAAAAAAAAAAAATCGGAAATATCACCATTTTTAAATTAACAGATACTAGGAAATTGGAAATTTCAATTCTATATTGGCCAGTGAACTAAAAATGGTCTCGTATTTCATTTCAGATATCTGTCACCTTACTCCACTTGTCTGTGCCCACTGCGTTTAAAATCAGATGTGCGGATTGCGGAGTGAGAGCGGAGCAGGGAGCGCAGTTTTTTGAAAGTCGAAGCGCTCCAGGAGTGGAAATGGAAAACCCGGAGTGGAGCTGGAGCGGAGTGATTACGGAACGCTTTGAGCAGGTAGGGAAAACCTGTCTCTCCGCTCCGCTCCAGACTGAAAGCTTCCAGACCAGTGAACCTTCATTTGGAACAAATTTCATCGATAGAGAAGAAATATACGAACTAGCTGGCCAAGTTTTGCCTGAAATGTAAGTCACTCAACTTTAATAGCTTATTTATTGAGTTGTAATAGCACACGCGTAATCACAGCTTAACTGATATTCAGTATAGGCAGCCAAATGTATGGTATCTTATATTAAAGGCATGATTATGTTATGTTATGAAACTGTGGTTACAATTATCTATGAAAACAATACAGCCTAATGCATTACAGTGTGTATTGTAATGCAGTAAGAATTTATCGTAAGATTAATAATAATAATTATTATTAAATGCATAATTAAGTGCTGCCATTTTTAACATCCACATGGTTATAATGCATTATAGTCTGTGGTTAGAATTATTTATGAAAAGACTATTTATATATTGTACATTAATGCGTTATATATACAGTCTCCATAGAAAGTATTACCAAACTTTTTTGTGCGTGTGGTGGTCTGTGGGCGGCGCGCGCACTTCCAGCCGAACTCACGGTGCGCGAAGCGATGCGCTTCATCCGGACGCGCGCACATCCATGCAGCGGAGAGCGGAGTGGATCTGACCGCTGAAGGGGGTATCTCCTCCCGTTACCCAACCAATGTGATACCCTCCGGCTCTTCGGGAGAGGTGTTCCTCTGTCGTCTCGATTGTCTTCACCTGGTTTACTCTTAACAGCAATATTTCTTCACATTCAGAGAATAATGGAAGCGCTCGCGACGAGATGCGCACTGTTTCTTGCGCAGATCGCACTCTTCAGTAATACTGGTATGTAAAGCAGGAATCTCTAGTTTACTTTATCTGTTTTTAATAAATCCGTCAATATTGGGCTGATAAATGAGTGTAGTGTATATAATGCTGAACAGATGCGGGAAGTGCTGGATGTCATAGTTTGCACACCAAGCTTATTTTTATTGAACTTGGGGTTCAAACTTAAACATGATTTATTTCTAACTAAACATGATCTATGCCCAAAATTTTTAGTCGTTCTTTCATAATGAGTCATATCATGGCAATTCAAATATTTTCTTTTTGTCTGCTGTGTCTGCTGTATTGTATTGCAAGTCAATACTGAACAAGAGAACATGGAACATTATTTGAACAGAGAGTCTGTCTGAGCATATGCTTTATATACAGCCTTTAAATTCATAATCATAAGTTCAATTAATGTTTTTTTCTGCACTGTAAAATATTTCAACCCATTAAAATGGGAAACTGGAGTTTAATTGCTGCTTTATATTTTTGTGCTGCCAAAGTCACAACACTGCTAAGTTCATGCACAGTTTCTATCTCTTTAAATGTAATTACTGATGAACAAAATCAAGTTTAAACTGAAAAATCAATAAAATTAAATTGAAATAACAGGAAGAATTGCTAAAAAAAAAAAGTTAGATGGAAACAAAAACAGTGTGTTAATATAATGATTTAAATATTTAAGTGAGGTCTTACTTTACCAAGTAAATGGAAGTTACATAGGAAAATTAATAATAAAACATTAACATTAAAAACAATTTTTGCAGTCTGAGTTTCATTATCATGTTGGCAGCTTTTTATTTATTTGTTTACATATCACACAAGGAAAGATTTGTGTGGCTGAGGTAATTCTGGTTCAGCATACTAGTGTATGAGCAACTGAGAAAGACAAGATATTAAAGGGGTCATATGATGCGATTTCAATTTGTCCTTTCTCTTTGGAGTGTTACAAGCTCTTGGTGCATAAAGAAGATCTGTAAAGTTGCAAAGACTAAAGTCTAAAATCCAAAGAGATATTCTTTATGTCACTGATTATTCAAACGCGAGTTTTGGGCAGTGTACACGGCATCAACAGTATGTGAGGGGCGTAACATTTCCGTCTCATGCTTGAGGTATTCGGCCAATCACAACGCACTGGATAGCTGGCCAATCAGAGCACACCTCGCTTTTCAGAATGATGAGCTTTGTAAAAATCGACGCGTTTCAGAAAGGCGGGGCATAGAGGAGAAACAATAATGTACAGTATGTGGAAAATAATGTGTTTTTTTTACTTTAAACCGCATAAACACATTTCATTACACCAAATACACAAAATAATGTTCTTTTTAGCAGCATCATATGACCCCTTTAAACCCTTAAAAGATATTTTGTATGCTTATAAGGGAGGGGCTTACATTCTAGAATCTGGATTATGACTCAGGTTTCTGTCAATTCTTTTGCTGAAGTATTATACAGTATATATTAATATGTATGTAGTGCACTGTACAATGTGAAATGTGCAGTTGTTGTCTCAAGTGCACTCAGCAATTTTTGCAATTTAAGGATTTGCACATAAAGTTATGAATACTTGTGAATACTTAGAAATACTTTTAAGTGATGTTCAGTCACATTAGCTCACAGGAATCATATCAGTCTTCTAGAAAAAAGCTGTTTTATTCTACCTGGAAATGGGAAATGGTTCCCATTTATGGGCGCTGCCATGTTGAGATCACATGACCAACAGTGGTATGCAATTGGCTGAGTTACTACTTCTAATAATAATCAATGCAGCTAGCACCAGAAGCAGGTGAAAATGTGTTGAGATTGAATCCAAGAATGTCTACTATAAGGATGAAAATAAATGAAGAATAAGAGAAGATAAGCAGCTTCAATGCAAAACAGCAGCAGTTAGTAAACTTCATTCATCCAGACCAATAGGTGTCAGTATAGTCTAAAACCAATGACAATACTGGGACCAATAAGAGCACGAAAAACTTATTGAGTTCACTTCTAAGTTCTAAGTTGGTATTTCTACCTTATCTTACATTTAAAACGACTTGTTAGTCTAAACTGTTAAAAAAAATTAGAGGAAAAAAAAGCATAAGCCTGTAGGAAAAATGTGGCTATTGACGTTTTTTTTTTTTTAAGTGTCTACTATTTTAATTTGTTATATAGTGCAAGTACCCAGTGTGAATAAAGTGTAGCTTGGCTCAAAGTTAACATATGCCACCATTGTGCCCAGTTCAGTAGAAAGTGACAAATGCTTATACAAACTCAGACTTCAATCCTAGGCTCATTATTTTGTCTGCTATCTGTTATGAAGTGCCAAGGAGCGACTGATATGCCAGGATTAATCTTTTGGATGCCGTCTGAGACAAAGCCTCTAAAAGCTGACCAAAGCCATTTTACTAGGACTTGGAAAAGCCCTTTTGTAAGTCAGCTAGTGAACCGGGATAGCAAGTCGGTACCTGCTAAAAAAAAAACCGCTCAGCTGCTCCTTCAACCCTTACTACTTTTCTTCTTTTCTGTTCAGTGTTCTAAATGATGCAGTGATGAAATGTGTGGCACAAAAGAAGGGCTGAATCTTAGGACGCGAGCTAGTGAATGAAATCTCTCTCTCTCACCATCTGTCTTCCCAAGTGTTGTACTATAGCTAACAAGTTTTTTCCCCTTCTACACTTTTTTGGCACAGCTCTGTTTTTCCTCTGAGAAAGTCCCTGTGTTGTTTGTCGGATCTTGGGTTTGTGACAGATGGTATTGCGAACTGTAAAGCTGTCAGTCTGGGGTTCATGCGGCCCCTCCCCTGCCACATGCCTCATGTGTGTCCACCTGTGAGGGACGTGTGGCAGTGTGTGTCTCTACATGCTCCAATTAGTTGTGTGTCCAAGCAGAACAACCACTTCAGGCTTAAAGGTGAAGTGTGCCATTTTTCAATGTTAAAATACATCCATATCTCCCAGAGTGAAACAGGATATGTAATGGGCAAAAGAACTTTGTTTGATTCATCAGGATTGGATTGAATTGTGAAAGGTGGGTGTTACAGACTGAATGCAAGTTTGCTAAAATGGTAACTAAATAGCTGTTTGACTACATTATCAAATAGCTTATGTGGCCTCAGTGATGTCAGCAGAAAAGCAAATTTGATTTGCTCATCTGTTTTTGCGCCATTTCTGACAGATTGTGAGTCTGTGCATTATTAAAGGGGATTTTTCAGTGACTTTTTCAGCAGGTTACATCATCAAACCAGTATGTGGCGACAATTTTAAGAGTGAGTCACTGAACCGTTTGCTCAAATGATTTGTTTAAAAACACCGATTTATTCTGAAAACAAAACATGATTGATGAGTGAGCCACAAAATTATTCACTCAACCGTTTCATTTGAAAAACACTGAATCCTTCATGAAAGAAATAAGTGACTCAGAATCATTCACTTAACTAATTCATTCAAAAATACTGATTCGTTCAGGAGTGAAACAAATGGCTCTCTTCATGTGTGAGTCACCAAATCATTCACCCATCCAATTTGTTCAAAAACAATGAATCATTCAGAAATTAAATGAGTGAATCGATTTATTAGTGAGTCATAAAATCATTAATTCAGCTGATTCATTTAAAAACACTGATTCGCTCAGGAAAGAAAAAAGTGACTGTCTTCATGAGTGAGTCACTATATCGTTCACTCAACTGAGTCATTCAAAACATTGATTCATTGAGGAAATGAAACAAATGAAAGTGAAAGTGACTGACTGAATTTAGAATAGCATTACCATACTATACCATACCATATTGCTAACTACCATACCATACTATTGTACATTTTTTTTTATCTCATATGTTTATTTGGTGTAAATAGTGTGGTATGTTATTCTGAATTCAACAACTGTTTTTATAATAGAGTCAGTGTATCATATAGTCAAAGAATTCATTCATGATCATTGATTTATTCAACAGACATCGAATCATTTACCCATTTATTCAAAACACTAATTCATTCAATAACTTACATAATTTGTAATATAATTCAGCCACTGTTTTTATGAATGAGTCATTGAATTAATCAGTCAACCTGTTTGTTCAAGAACAGTTTTATTATGGAATAAAGCAAGCAACTTTCTTTTTGAGTGATTCATTAAATCATTTACCAATTTGTTCAACAACAAAAAAAGATTCATTCATCAACTTCATTTGGGACATTTTCATTAGTGGAGCAAAAAGAGACAGAATAACTAGCCATATTTTTTTTCTAAAATGTAAATCACTCACTATTAACTTCTTGATAGAACTGTATAAAAACATTATCTCATCTGCAGTCGTACTATTGGAATATTTCCTTAACTGATGTAATCTCTGTGTTTGCTTAGTGTTAAAGTGTCTGTTTGTGACCAGCACTTTTTTGTCTCTGTTGTTCTTTCTTTTTTGCTCTTTGGTGGGGGCAACTGGGGCAGCTTGGCATCCAGACTCCCTGTCAGAATCTGCTTGTGAAAACGGGAGCAGATTTCCCCTCAACGGCAACGGGGGCATTTGATGAACAGATTATTCGGCATTAGGCTCAAGCACATTCACTCAGGCATGCGGAGGGGACGCACTGAGCCTCCGAGTCCTGTCTTTTCTCTCCTTCCCAAGACAGTGGAGGGGCCGAGCCTGAATGGACCGGGGCGGTGGATGGGATGGTGGCGAGGGGGGCTTCAGTGGTGAGCCAAATCTCTGCACCATCCTGGCCATGGCCTTGGGCCAGTCCCGCTTAGTGAATTATGCTGTCAGCTGCTCGATTTGTTTGTGCCTGGCTGGCAAGAGGCGGCCGGTGCTCTTGGACATGCAACAACGTAGGGTGTCTGGACTGGAAGGGGGGTCTTATTGTATGTGGCATGTGAGTGTGACATTCAGGAGGGGCCCTGATTTGTCCCAGTGGTGGTGCTCCCATGTCACAAAGGATGGATGAGCGAGTTGGGGTACTTTTGTGTGTCTATGTGGGAGGGAGAGGAGAGAGAACTGAGAGTGTCAGAGGCTTTCCTCTTTGCGCTCTTTTATTGCAAAC